AAACATAGCCTAGATTACGCTTAGCGCGCAAAGAATTAGCTATATTAGCTATAAATGCTATCTAAGGGGAAATTCCTTGCGCATATAGCTTAAGTATAGTCTTAATAATCACCTGCTCCTTTTTATTGCCTAGCCTTTGTAATTTAGCTGTAGAATTAGCTTGTAAAGGTTGTCTAGCGCTATAGTTATTTATTGTCTTTTACAAGACTCTGCACATAGCTACAGCACATTTCTTTAAGAGTTTTATGTTTTATTTAAAAGCTTAGAGCGCAAGCTGTATCTAACATTCTTTTAGCGCGTCTAAGTGGTGTTGTGGGGAATGCATTAGTGTAGGAAGGGTGGTTTAGTGGGGTCTTAGCAAAAGTAAGCGACTCGGGTGTGTGAGCAACTCGCCCATGAAGTACGTTAGTAGTAAGACACTAAATAAAGCAGCATTAATAAAAATGCTATTTAAAAAAAACACTTTATAAAAGCTAGCTACTACTTTTACTATTAACTTAAAAGTAACAAGAGAAGCACTCTTTACATAAAATGTTTAAAGTAGTAGAAAAAACGCACCTAAATAGTTATTAGATAATAAAATTCTAGACAGAGGTCTAGATAAAGCTAATTAAGGCAGCTAGATAGCAGATTCTAGATTGTATGTAGGTGTACACCTACAAGCTTAATAAGCACTATAGATTATAAAGATGTAAGGCGCAACTAGTAGTCTACAGTAGTTAATAAAAAAATATTACTATATAAAATACCTACACTACTACCTTAGCAAAACGCTTATTTTAAATGCTAATAGTAATATCTACACACTTTAACTTAGAGCTTAAATAATATAATATAACTAATATGTTTATATACACAGCAATTAACTACAATATCTACATGCAGATGCTAAGAGGCTATTAAAAACTAAGTATAATACTAAAGCTTTAAAAAGCACTATATAGCTTATAAATTTCTCTTCTACTCTAGCAACACTATTTTATAATAACTTTTAAAAGCCTTAAGTTTTTAGCTATTTTATATAAACTCTACTATATAACTAAAGCTAGAATTTCTTTTTTTTTACATAGACAACTTTATTATTATGTATAAAAAAGGCTCTAAAGTAGATACACAGCGTGTAGTAGACTAGTTATAAAAGAAGTATACTTTTATAAGAAGTAAGGACTTATAATAGTTTCTAAAAGTTAAGATTATTAGAAATTAATAGTAATAAATAATTTAGCTATTATAAGCCTTATATATTAATAAGATAGCTAGGCTAGCTAATAAAAAGAACCTGCAGTATACTACACCTATAAGTAAGATTAAACTTATGCTGTAATTTAGTTTTACAACTTTATTAACAGTAAATTATTATTAGTAGAAGATTAAATCTTTGCTCTTTATAGTAGTTACTATAAGACTAGACATTACCTTTACTATATCACACTTTACATAGTTTATTATAAATCCTGCATCTAACTATTAGAATGTAGCTAATTAAGTTATCCTATACTTACATGCAACACAAACATACGCACTTTAATTAGAAAAAGAAAAATACTTTATAGTAGTAAGCAATATGTTATTTATAAATAATACACTAAATAAAAAAAGCTTTTAAAGCTATGTTATTTAACTATTTAGTAGATAGATTACATAGCAAGTAAATAAATAAAATATAGTTATAACATTAATAATAAAAGTAGAATTAATTACACTATTCTAAGTTACTAAAAAAGCTATGTTTATAAGAATGCTTTTTAATAAACTATAAGTTAAGCTACTTAATTTAACTATTATAATTTAGTGTAATAACAAGTAGAAGATTTAACTAGTAAATAAAAAGATATTTTAACTTTAAACTAAGCTCTAACATGTTAACATCTATAACTACTAGCTCTAACAAGAAGTCTTTTAACAAATAATTAAGAGTGTCTATGTCCTCTTTAGTAAGATGCTTATAGACAGACTTACTAAAGCGCTTTTAGCTAGTAAATAGCTAAGCTTTCTTTAGCAAATTTAGCTAGTTAATGTTAGGGAGAGAATAGTTAGTTAGAAAGCAGATATAGAAGAAATTAAAGCAAGAATAGAAGCTCTAGAAGCATACTAAGGTTGCGCAATTAGGAACTAGCTTAAAGCATGTCTAAGCTAAGAGGGTGTGTTAGATATGCGCACCTACTGTCAAGACAGGAGGAACGCTGGACAAAAGCTGCTACATAGTACAAGCAATAAGCTTAAACAGTATGTTGCTGTAAATTGCTGCATGTTGCAGCATTTTGCAACAAATTGCAGCATGTTGCAAGCTAGTCGCGCATAGGGCTAGTGCGCAAGGGACTTGGACTGGAAAAACAAAGCTGAGCAACACAAGCAGGGCAGACAAGAAAAAAAGAGAACAAAATACAATCAATCATCATCCTATACATTATATCAAAACCCATCATTCATCTTAGGAAGCCTAGAAACAGTCTTCAATCTGACAAGAGAAGCTAGTATAGAGATTTAATTAGAGATTTTATATGCTAATGCTTGTAAACTAATATAGACTTTACAATTTTTACTACAGCCTTTATTTACACCTATTTAGGTGCTAAGGAGTAGCAGAGGCTAGGGGGAACAGTGTAGCAACTAGATTTTTAATATTTTAATTTTCGCTGTCGCGCTAACCTGCTTAACATGTCGCTGTGGGCCTACGCATAAGCAAAGAGTACTAGGTGATAAGGCGGCTTATTGTTTACTAAACAGAAGCGAAAAGGGGGCAAAAAAAGTATATATTGTGGGGAGTGAAAGTGTAAGATAGAAGCGAACCTGACCCACCTCTAGCAGCACCTAGAGTCATGTTTGCAAAGTTATTACTAACGCCACAATTAACCTTATTAATTTAACAGGGCTTGTTTACAAAAAGAAAAGAAAATGAGGCAGAAAATGTGTATACAGTAAGGAACAAGTGTGAGACAGCATCTAGGCTAACCTATTTCCAGCAGCACCTCGGGTGGTGTGCGTAAAGCCCTCGGTCTGTCTCCACCATCAAGTTGACGGTGTATGTCGGTGTCTACCTAGGATCATAATTCACTAGATCGAACTAAGCACTAGAGGAATTGCCGTAGTTCAAAGATGTACGTGTTGCTAAGAACCCGTGGACAGCCTTTAAGCTCAGGGGTAAACAAGGCCCAAATTGTTTATTTCGCTTGCATGACTAAGATAAGTCTTGAATGAGATACTTACAGGGCTTAATATGTAGCTTGTGGCACTTTTCGCCTATCTTTTAGGTAAAGTTCTGGTAGCGATGTGTCGGTTGATTCAACATGTAGAATTGGTTAGCATTTACGCAAATTAACCTCAGCAGGACACTATCACATCCCACACTTGATTTAAAATTAATGGGAGGCGTTTTCTAAGAAGGTCCTACAAATACGTGCAAGAGGACCTGCCGCCTATACTTAAACACCTCTTTGTTTTATTTCGACGAAACTGCCGGTTGCGAATATAATGCGACTAACCGTCGTCCCTCTTTTGATGTGCGTCAGCACTCCGCTCGTGTCCTCCTTTCGTTGGGTTCACAATGTCGACTTCGTTGACTGTCTGAAAACAGTGAATGCCTTAGACCCGACAAAAACGAGCGACGCGCAATGGATCCACACCCTCGTTGACCCGAGGACGCGAAAAGCTATCTCCAACAATCGCACACTTCTCACGTACCAGGGGTGCGAAAAAAAATGTGGCGATGGCTACATGTTATGGCCAGCAAGGGAAACTTTATCCCGATTAGCGCTCTGGTTGATTCCGGTTTCGGTTCTGATTTCCCATTTCCATTTCGCGCCTCTGTCGGGTCTCAACACTACATTCGTCGTTATGCATCTACTTGGCGATCCGGTTGATAGCATCTGGAGTATGCTTGTTCGACAGCAAAAAAATCAACTATTACTCAGCAAGGCGAAGACGTCGGGTTTGGTGAGGAGTGGGGAAGATATAGCTACAATATGGGCTGCTTATGATGAAGTGGGATGGGTGGATGCCTCTACATATTTCCTGAAAGAACTCAAGCGCCGAAAACCCGTTTACCACTGTCGACCTCTAAGCCGGCAGGCCCCACCCCAAAGCGTGCCTACCCCGGTAGCAAGCCAAAGTGGCAGCTGCAGCGAACTTGATAGAGTAGGACAACACCCATCAAACGGGAACAGACTCCAGCACCCTACGAGATCAAGTTTAGACGCCACTGAAAGTTATTTAATCGAGCTAGCCGCGCAGCGACTGACCTCGAACCGCTCCGAGAGTCGGCTTGCTTCCTGGGTTGCCATAATCGCAATGATTGGCGCACTGTGTGGTGCATACATACGAACTTGGTCTGAGAGACTCAACAACCAGACCCCGCACACTATTGCGATTGTCTCATTACTATTCATATTCATTCCCATTGTAAAGATCAGCGGTAATATTGGCTCATTCACTTCTCCAACTGCGGTCGTGGATATTATTCAGGAACTGCGCCGCGATCTCAAAAACCATTATCAAAGTGTCGCAGACAAACGACCACTATTTCCTCCATTTATTCTTGATAAGAATGCACATTGGAGACCAGAGAACGAGGCCGGAGAAAGCGACGGAGATGAGGCTCGTCGGCCTCTTTCTCCAGGAGACATCGAGATTGATATCCTCACAGACTGGCCTTCCATAGCTGGATACCTTGGCATGAACTGCGCTTGGCGCCCGCACAAGTCCATCAACAGTACTAAGGCTTATGTGGCCAGATGCGGACCATTCGGGCTCGGAATCTTATCAGTCCTTTTTGTCGTGTTAGGAAGCTACTTGCCCGCCCTGCTTCTATCATACTGCACACCACTGATCGGGTTTGGCTGCCGCTCATTCGCGTGGACATTAATCATGGCTAGCTGGGTACTAAGCATCATTCTGGATTATGCATTGAAAAATCTCACCTGCATTAAGAGGGCCAAGACGCTGTGGTTGTCGACTGTCGCTAAGGACATAATCATCGCTATTTACTTCATACTATCAGTGTCAGCGGCCCAAATCGGATATTTCAATAGCTGCTACTGTCGTGGTGGGGTTTTGACAGGGCAAAATCCGGCATATATTAACTTGGATGAGCTCTCTCCCCAGGAATGGCAAGACGGTTGGCTACTTTGGACCATGGTACCAGTAGTGGCTTTATTAGCCATTATGATCTTGCTGTTTACTGTCAACAGACTAAGTGGAGACTCTAGTAAGCTGCTGAATCGCGACATCGAACGGAGAGCGAATGATATTGTCCAACTGAATAGGATCCGGTGCGATGTTAATTTAGAAGAAAGGCCTGAAGATAGACCCCAGACTAAGAAGCGAGGGTTATGGTGGCGTCGGTTACAGAAGAAGAACCAATCCCGGAAAGTTGAGTCTGAACAAGAAACCCAACCATTTAATCGCAGCACCGGCGACGAGTCTAGCAGTTTCAACTATGAAGATTCATAACACAACGTATTTTACAAGCAGGCGGTCTATACAAGCAAACAGGATACTCTAATAAAATTTTAGTACTTAAACTACAATTTACTATGTAGCATGTATATTAGTTAATTAAATACTATGGTGGGAAACAGTACTACTGCCATAGGATTAAGTTGCCCCCCGGGGCGAGAATGTATATATTGTATACGCTATTAAGGCTTACCCCTAGGGGCAAGAAGTCCTGGCCCTGAATCCATTGCCTCTAGCTTCTAGCTTAAAGGCTTGCCCCTAGGGGCAAGAGCCGCCTGCCCTGCATCTATATACCCCTAGGCTCTAGACTAAAGGCTTGCTCCTAGGGGCAAGATCTTTCTCTACTATGTCCTTGCATGTGGTTTCTGTCTAAAAGGCTTGCCCTAAGAGGGCACAAGCTTCCCGCCCCTAGCATCTTTACATCTTAGAGTAAGAACTAAAGTAGCTTTACTAAAATAAATAACTGCTTACGCTTCTTCTTTGTCTTTAAACTTACACTTTATAAAACTAATTTTCTTTTTACCTTTTCTTTTCCTACTATCTTTTTATTTACATTTAACACTAGACTTATTATAAAATAAAATACTAAAACCTATTAACCTCTAGTAAGAGAAGAAAATGAACTGCAGAAACAGGCATAAGGTTAGACCTGGGACAGTAGGGGTTTTTTCGCGCAAAGGGACGAAAACAGGTTCAAAAGCTACAGGCAGGCAGCGGTTAAGCTATATAGGCGTTGTGGCAGAAGAGAGAGTGGTTGAAAGGTAGGCATTAGAGAGGTCTTGACCGTTTTTAGTAAGAGGATTGTTTAGCAAGGCAGCAAGGGGCGCTAGCTGCATTTAGGGTTTTGGTGGAATTAAACACCATCCACCTCTAGCTGTTAGTAGTACATAGATAATAGACAGAAACGTTTTACAAAGGCTCTGCAAGCTAGATTCTGCAATTTTGTATGCATCTATACAGTTTGTGGGTAGTCAGGAATAGCATTGTGGTACTTGGCTGGCATTAAGCGCTAGCCGCATTTGGGTTTTTAGTGGAATTGAACGCTATCCACCTCCAGCTGTCAGTAGTACGTAGATAATAGACAGAAACGTTTCGCAAAGGCTCTGCAAGCTAGATTCTGTAATTTTGTATGCATCTATACAGTTTGTGGGTAGTCGGGAATAGCATTGTGGTTGGCTGGCATTGAGCGCTAGCCGCATTTGGGTTTTTGGTGGAATTGAACGCCATCCACCTCCAGCTGTTAGTAGTAAGTAGAAAATAGGCAGAGACGTTTTGCAAAGGCTCTGCAAGCTAGATTCTGTAATATTGTATGCATCTATATAGTTTGTGGGTAGTCGGGAATAGCATTATGGATGGTACTTGGCTGGCATTGGGTGCTAGCCGCATTTGGGTTTTTGGTGGAATTGAACAGCACCCACCTCCAGCAGTCAGTAGTACATAAATAATAGACAGAAACATTTCACAAAGGCTCTGCAAGCTAGATTCTGTAATATTGTATGCATTTATATAGTTTATAGGTAGTCAAGAATAGCATTATAGTACTTAGCTAGCATTAGGCGCTAGCTGCATTTGGGTTTTTAGTGGAATCAAACACCATCCACCTCTAGCGGTTAGTAGTAAGTAGAAAATAGGCAGAGACGTTTTACAAAGGCTCTGCAAGCTAGATTCTGTAATATTGTATGCATCTATATAGTTTGTAGGTAGTCGGGAATAGCATTATGGTACTTAGCTGGCATTAGGCGCTAGCTGCATTTAGGTTTTTAGTAGAATTAAACACCATCCACCTCTAGCAGCTAGTAGTAGGTAGATAATGGACAGAAACGTTTTACAAAGGCTCTACAAGCTAGATTCTGTAATATTGTATGCATCTGTATAGTTTGTGGGTAGTTAGGAATAGCATTGTGGTACTTAGCTGGCATTAGGCGCTAGCTGCATTTAGGTTTTTAGTAGAATTAAACACCATCCACCTCTAGCTGTTAGTAGTACATAGATAATAGACAGAAACGTTTTGCAAAGGCTCTAAAAGCTAGATTCTGTAATATAGTATGCATACATATAGTTTGTGGGTAGTTAGGAATAGCATTGTGGTACTTAGCTAGTATTAGGCGCTAGCTGCATTTAGGTTTTTAGTGGAATTAAACACCATCCACCTCTAGCAGTTAGTAGTACATAGATAATAGACAGAACTGTTTTGCAAAGGCTCTGCAAGCTAGATTCTGTAATATAGTATGCATATATATAGTTTGTGGGTAGTTAGGAATAGCATTATGGTACTTAGCTAGCATTAAGCGCTTGCCGCATTTAGGTTTTTAGTGGAATTAAACAGCACCCACCTCCAGCAGTTAGTAGTACATAGATAATAGACATGCTGCAATAGCTAGGGTAGGTGGTAGTAGTGCGTAGAAACTAAGATAGTCTATAAAATAGTGAATTATCCCTCTGTAGTGTAGAAGACTTACTGTAGATGCGTAATAAGTTAATGTCTTTTTAGAAAACTCTAGCAAGGTTAATTAAGATAATATTTTATAGTTATAATAGCACATAGGTTAAGCGTTGCTTAGGTATTATTAAAAAGAGATAATAGTAAGATCTATAAAATAATTAGCGTAGCTATAGTGTAAACCTATAGGCAGGAGATAGCTAAAAGAAAGAGAAGAAGGAGAGGGAGGAAGAGAGAGTAGAAGGAAGAGAAGGTAGAGGTTTTAGTATAAGTACTAGTATGTATTACTAAACCTCCTCTCTTTGTCTGCTCCTTAACATGTATATATGTAGTAGCACACATAACAGGTAAATTTACTATAATACAGCATGCGTTATAATGTAAAATGCGCTAAACTCTATATAAGATACTCTTTTAAAGTTAACATAAAATAATTAGTATATTTTTAGCTAAGGGTTTTATTTATTATTCTAACATGTAGCTAAACAGCTTAGCATAGGTCTAGCTAACATGTAGAATAAGAAGATAGCTAGGGGGTAGAGAGAGGGTTTTAGTATAGGTACCTACTTGTCACTGCTAGTGCACTAACCACATATAGGCTTAGCACGCGCGCTAGCTATAAACAACTATTTGCAACCTTATAAGCTCTTTTTACCTCTATAATCTACTACTCTCTGCTCTAGCAGCAGAAGCAGCAGCAGCAACAATAGCAATAATAACAACAATAACAACAACAATAGGTGTAATTTTAGCAAATTTAAATAATTTTAACTAAAAAAGTAATTATAAGTTATTTATAGGCTAGTGCTAACTAGTGTAGTGTACTAAAGTTCTAATTAGCTAATTTTAGTAAGTGTAGTGTTTTTTCTAAGTCCCTTTAAGGCAGTACCTATTCTAAAAGCCCCCCCCCTTCTTTCCTCTCTATATCCTCCACCTCTATTTGCCACCTGCTGCGGTGGAAATAACCTATTACACTCTAACAAACCTGCCTAGGAACTAGCTAGAAACAGCTAGGTCTAGTATTAAAGCTAAGCTCTTAAGATTTAGTAGGTGTTTTCTATATTTACTAAACTTTTTATTCTAGTATGCCTAGGCTAGAGCTAATAAAGAGGAAAGGAGAGGTTTAGCTTTATGTACTAGTACCTAAGGCTAAACTTTTTTCCTCTTTAGTACTTATCTCTATTTCCCTTTTAATTAGTGCTTATGCTTAACTTTTTACCTTAGTACATATCTTATATATTTTATAATATTATTAAGTTCCTTAGTAAACTTATACTTATTTAGGTTTAGGCTTAGCTAACATTATAATAAAGTTATAGATTTAAGTGCATCTTCTAGCTATAGTTAGGCAGAGCTTAAAAAGTAGTATAGTTAGCTCTAAACTTGCAGCCTTTTACTATATCTAAACACTAATTTTATATCTTAGTTAGCTTTTCTAATTTACTATTCTTCTAAGTTTTAAGACTACTATAAAGTTAAACTAGATCTTACTATAAACACATTCTTTAAGAATAAATAGCTAAAGAAGTAAGCCTAAGCTAAAGCTATTAAAAAGTTTATTACTAATAAGCTTACTAAATTAGACTAAAACTTAAAAAACATTAAAGTAGTTAGGTAAAACACTAAGACTAGTAAAATTATTCTATATGCAGCTATATAAAGTATTACATAGTTAGCTCTATATTTTAATGCAACCTAGGGTAAGCTTTTAGACATAATTAAGAGTAATTATAAATTCTATAAAGTAACTAGTTAACTCTAGCGCGCCTATTTTTTCTGCTTTAGTAATGCTAAAAGACTTAACCTGTAAATAGTTTTTAACACTATTGCAGATAACTAATACTAGAGAACTTATTATTTTAAAGGCACACTAATAAAGTTCTATAATTTTAAAATGCTATTAAAAGTTAAGATGTATACTTTTATACTAAAAGTAGTTATGTTTAACTTCTTTAAATAAGCTAACAGGCCTTTTTATAGTTATAGTATTCTTAAGACTTTTATTTCTAACTAGGCATAAAATTTTATTAAGTGTTTTAAGTAGTTTAGTAGCTAGGCTAAGAAATAAGCAGCTAACTCTAAGCCTTATAGTAGTAATTATGTTACTATAGATACTATTATAGCTAATGCCTTAAATTTTAAGATCTTGCGTGTAAGAACTTTAGAAGCTTACGCTAGACTAACCTAGTTAAGAAGAAGTAGCTGCGCTAAAGCTGTAAAACAGATTAAAGCGCTTAGCAGTAAACAGGTTCTTAAGGAACACGCTATCTACTCTACTAAGCTAGAAGAAGCACTTAATGTATTTAAGCCTAGTCTAGGTTCTAATTTTAATTTACATTTATATTTAGATTTAGATTTAAAATTAGATTTAGATTTAGATTTAAATTTAAATTTAAATTTAGATTTAGATTTAGATTTAGATTTAAATTTAAATTTAAATTTTAATTTTAGCACTACATTAGATAGATTAAAGGAGGACAAAGAGGAGGCACCTGCATGTAATATTCTAGGCAGCAGAGACAGCAGTAGCAGAGTAGCGCATCTAACTTTCTAG